AAACCCTAAACCCTAAACCAAAAAACAAACGCTCTCCAGCCCTGGGCGATTTCACGCCTCCAGCCACTGCCGTCGCTGTTCCGGCGGATCCAGACGCCGGACGGCCAATCTGCCACCGTCACTCGACTCGCCATCCCCGAAAACCCCCCCCTACACCGAGCCCCGTCGCCGGAAACCGCCCCCAGCCGCCGCTCTCGTCAGCCCCGAAACGACGTCACCGGCGAACTCGCCGCTGCCGGCGTTTTCAGCCCGGCGCCTCATCACCATCGTGGTCGCCATCCTCCATAACCCCCGTCCCCACCCAACCGCCGCCGGAAATCGCTGCAGCACCGTCGGCCGCTACTGCCCTGCGCGGCGATACTTTCAGCGCCGGTATCTCTCAACACCGGCGTTGGATCGCCGTTTGGCCACCGTCACTGAACTCGCAGGGCTGAGGTGTCCCCGAATCCACCCCTCGATCGCCGGAATACGCCGCCGGCTCCGCCCCTGACGGTTGGCCTCCCGCACCGTCGCCACCGCGTTTCGGCATCCCCCCGCCGTCGGACCACCATTCTGACGACGGGATCGTGTTCCCCTGGCCGGAAAACCCCCAGGGCCGGGCTACCGCCGCGAGTCGCCACCTCTACACCACTGTCCGCCGCTTGCCCTAGGTCGCCGTCGCCGTAGCCCTGATTTGCGACACCTTCGACGCCGCCGTTCTCCCGTCTCCGACGTCGGATCGTCAATCGGCCACCGTCACTGTCCTCGCAGGGTTGAGGAGTCCCTGAACCCGCCACCCGACCGCCGGAATACACCGTTGGGAACCGCCGGTGACTCCCCGACGGTTGCCCTCCTCCCGACGGTTGACCTCCCGACAGTTGATCTCCCGACGGTTGGCCTCCTGACGGTTGAGTTCCCGAGACGCCGCCTCTGCATATTCCGCCGACTCCGCTGCCCGACCAACTCTCTGGTCCCGATACTGTTCCACCCGACCCCGACATACACCTTGGTCGGTGCTCCTTGACGCCAGAGCATCCCCCGACTGAGGCCCAGGGATCGCGACTGCTGTTTCTCCCGACGGGTGATCTCCCGACCGAGTCCCGACCGAGGCCGTCTCTGGTCCGTAGGTTGCTCCCGACCGAGGCCCGACCGAGGCCGTCTCTGGTCCCGACGGTTGATCCCGATCGAGGCCCGACCGAGGCCGTCTCTGGTCCCGAAGGTTGATCCCGACCGAGGCCCGACCGAGGTCGCCTCTGGTCTCGAAGGTTGATCCCGACCGAGGCCCGACCGAGGCCGTCTCTGCTCCCGAAGGTTGATCCCGACCTTGGCCCGACCGAGGCTGTCTCCGGTCCCGAAGGTTGCCCCGACTCGGCGCCTCTCCGACCGTCTTCGCTGCCCGACCACACTCCCGCCCGAGGCCCAGGGTTCGTGGTTGTCACTGGTCCCGACGGTTTGTCCCGACTCGGTGCCACCACTTTTCTCCCCGACCCCGCCAACCCCCAGTCGGTGCCCCGACGCCAGAACACTTCCCGACTGGGGCCCAGGTGTCGCGGCGGTCACTGACCCCGACGTTTTGTCATCCCGACACGACGCCCCGCTACTCCGCCCGACCCTGACGCCAGACCACCCTCCTGGTTCCGCCACTGTGTCTCCCGACCCAGAAGCCCCCAGACGCGGGTTCAGTGCCTGAACGGTGCCCAGACTTCACGGCTGCCTCTGGCCCTTGTCGTCGTCGGTTTCTCTGCTGCTCTGGCGCTCTGAGCGCCGGTCTGACGGCACTGTTGATTCTCTGGCCCTGGCAGCCCCAGCACCCCATCCTTTACCACCGTCTCCGATGACAGCCGCCGACTCCTTCCGGAGCTAGGGTTCTGCCGTGGAATTGCCGGATATGGCCGCTCAGGCTGCTGCCGGCCGCCAGCAACCTCCCCAAACTGATGGTTCGGTACGCCTCACCTCTGCTACTAACCATCTCCATTCCCACAAGTCTTTTGCCAATGCTGTCACCTCCGGACTCCACTCCGAGATTCCTGAGGACAGTCCTTACTCTTTTCTGGCGGAGCCTCGTCCGACTGCTATTGGACAATGGATTTCTACTGCTGGACAGCCGCGCCTTGCTTTTACTGCTGACGAAACAGCAAGGTACACAGCCTCGCACCCGTACATTCTTATCGGTAAATTCTCTCATGGGTACTCTTCTTGGAAAGATCTTACCGAAGGTTTTGCGAGTTTCTGTTTGGCGGGGAAGTTTGTTTTGCAGCATCTTAATCACCGCCATATTGTGATTCGCCTCACTACCGAGGCTGATTATATGCGACTTTGGATTCGAGGAACTTGGTTCATCAAAGGATTCCCGATGAGAGTTCTCAAATGGACCCCCGATTTCAAAACTACCGAGGAACCCCCACATGTTCCGGTGTGGGTTACGCTCCCACTACTTCCTCTCCACATGTATCACAGAGATCTTTTATTTACGGTTGCTGCTGGCATTGGGACCCCTCTGAAGGTTGATACCCCTACGGCGACTCGGAGTCGGTGCTCCCACGCCAGAGTCTGTGTGGAAATTGACCTTACGAAGCCCCTCCTGCATGCCTTCGAGATTGATGTGGGTACTGGTGTGCTCGAGCAGAAGGTCATCTATGAGCGTCTACCTAGTTTCTGCTCACTCTGCCGCCATCTCGGACATAAAGCAGAGGCTTGTTTACGCAGACCTTCTTCGCAGCCGGTACCAGCGACCGTATCAGCTGCGCAGGATCCTCCTGCTGCGCCTTCTGGTCGCCATGACTCGGTGCATGGCCCTTCTGAGATCTCTGCGGCCCCTGCCTCTGGTGATATCATGGAATCCCGGCCCCCCACTGCTCGACGCCGTCGTCGGCGCCGCAATCGAAATCGGGGTACGCCTTCTACTGGTATCACTAATGATTCTGGCTCCTTGCAGGCTCCTCTTCGGCCCCTCCGCCAGGACCCCCAGCCTTCTACCCGGAGACCTTCTGATGACATACCGGAGTTGAACGGTTCCAGACGCCTTCGTTCAGGTGTGCGGGTGTCCTTTGGGGAGACACAAGTGGCCCCAAATCCATCACAGACGGCCAGGAATTCACAGCAGGTAATACCGGCGCATCTCAGCGGCCCTGCGGAGGCTCATCGCCCCCACGCTCCTCCTCGGGTGACCTTTGCCCACTCACGGGGGGATGCCTCTGCGATCCTGCTTACCTCTGGTGTTCGAGTTACTTTTGGGGACTTCCGGGCGCCTTCGGAAACCTCTCCGGTCCGCCCTCTGGCTGGACAGACTACAGCTGAGCCCCCGATCGACAGTCCTGCCTCCCCGCTGGACGACTGTCGGCTGAGTCCCACTCCAGCGACTCCTGCCACCGCTCCAGCCCTCGGTCTCTTTCTGCAGCCCCCTTTGGACGATCAGGTACCCTCGCCGCCTTTACCACTGCTTCCTGATGATATGCAGGTACCCCCGGAGCCTGTGTCGCTCCTCCTGCTCAGTCTTTGGCAATCTGGGGACTCCCCTCTGGTCATGGCCTGGATAAGGGGAAGGCAGTGCTGCTCTCGGACCCCCCTGCATCACCTATCTGCGATCGACGTGATCTTTCAGTGGACACATGCCTATCGGCCACGGGTTCTCCTTCCTCGGACACCCAGCGGGATGAGGACTCTGCACTTCATGCCACTTTCGCCGAGGACTCGGATGGTGACTCGCCCCTTATTAAGGATGGCCAACCGCCCCTCATTGATTCACTGTCTCTCTCCCCGAGAGGTACCACTGATCTTCACTCTTGTGATCTCCCTGCTGATGCAACTACAGGGACAGAGCTCCTCCCTGAATCTGGTCCGAACCCACCCCTCCTGCGGACTTCGTCGGAACCGCTCCCTGTTGTCGCTCTGTCGACGGAGTCGCATCCGAGCAGAGGGGTGTGCGTTTTGAACCAGGCTGCTGATCCTCCGTCTCTCAGCGGATCCTTGGAGACAGTGTCGGATGACCGGCCACAGGCTCTGCCGCCAACCTTCTCTAGGCCGATCACCCGCAGCATCTCTCGTCAGCAAGTAAGTTCCTCTCGTCGCCCTTCTGCTAGTACTCGATGACAGACACCTACATTCTGGTCTGGAATGTTCGAGGAATTGGTAACCCCAGGGCTCAACGGGAGGTACATTGGCTTTGTAAGCAACACCGTATCCGCCTTCTCATCATCCTTGAACCCATGGTTCTGGCGGACACTGCTTTCTTCTGCCGGCGGTTTGGTTTCTCTCAGATGCTAACCAACACGGCTAATTCTATCTGGATTCTTGCTGATGATTCTTATACACTGGCGCCTATATCGGAGATCGATCAGTGTCTTCATGTGCAGGTATCATCTCCACAGATTCGCCGGCCTTTTCTTTTATCTGGCATATATGCGAGGTGTTCTATCACCCAGCGCCGCGAGCTTTGGTCTTTCTTACATGACACCGCGATTTCGTCACTGGGATCCCCCTGGCTGATTGGCGGTGATTTTAATGCCATCGCCGATATATCTGAACGGAAGGGCCCGGGTCGGCCTAAATTGCGCTCTATTCAGGATTTCTCGACCGCAATCCTCGATGCGAACCTCATTGATGCTGGTTTCGAGGGCCCCCCGCACACATGGACCAATCGGCGGGTTTGGGAGCGCCTTGATCGCATTCTTTACAGCTCTGCCTGGGAGGATTTTGCGGAGACAACTCGAGTCAGGCACTTACCGCGGATGCATTCGGACCACGCCCCGCTCTTGGTCCGTTTCTCGCATGAACGGCACCGCCTAGCCTCTGCATTCCGGTTTCAGAACATGTGGACTAGACACCACTCTTTTCAGGACCACGTCCGCCAGAGTTGGGCTGTCCCGACGGGCACCACCGGTCTCCTCAACCTGCGATTGAAACTCGGACGCCTCAAGCAGGCTCTGAAGTGGTGGAACAAACAGGTATTTGGTAATGTGTTTCAGGTACTTGCAGCAGCAGAGAAAGATGCTGAGGAGTGCGAAGCGGATTTCGATCGGGATCCCTCTGACGCCAACCTCCTCCGTCGTCAACGGAGCGCAGCAGCCTTGACACATGCGATTTCTCTTGAGGAGGCCTTCTGGAAACAAAAAGCAGCATGTCGTTGGGCAGTTGAGGGAGAGCGAAACTCCAGAATGTTCCACTCCATGGTGAAGGAACGGCGTCGGCGGGCTACGCTTTTCTCGATGAGGGACGGTGCTCGTACCCTCACTGATCACTCAGCCATTAAGCAGTCAGCTATTACCTACTTCTCCGAGATGTTTGGTCAGCCTGACGATGCAGACACCTCGGGGATGGATGCACTGGCGGACCCTCCGCCTCAGGTTCCTTTGGCTGAATGTGCTCGGTTGCTGGAACCACCAACACTTGCGGAGGTTCGTGCTGTGGTTTTCTCGATTGACAAGGACAGTGTGGCTGGCCCTGATGGCTTTTCCGCCGCTTTCTATCAAACGTGTTGGGATATTATTCACGAGGATGTTTTCGATGCTGTTCTGGATTTCTTCTCGGGAGCTCCTCTTCTGAAGTTCTATACGGCAACGACACTTGTGCTTATCCCCAAGACGGACGGGCCAGTCGCTTGGGCTGATTTTCGGCCTATCAGCCTCTGTAATGTGAGTTCTAAGATCTTCACGAAGTTACTCACTGTGCGACTTGGTCCGCTACTGCCGCAGCTTCTGTCGCCACACCAGAGTGGTTTTGTCAAAGGTCGGGCAATTGCAGACAATATTTTGCTGGCATCGGAAATGGTACATGATCTCAATTTGAGGGGGGACTCGCACAATTTGCTGCTGAAACTGGATTTGAATAAGGCATACGATCGGGTATCGTGGCGGTTCTTGCGACATGCCCTTACCAGGTTCGGTTTCCCGCCTCATTTTATCACCTTGATTATGAATTGTGTCGAGCATGCTTGGTACTCGATTCTTGTGAATGGGGACTTGGGCGGTTTCTTCCCCTCCTCGCGAGGCCTCAGGCAGGGAGA